AAACAAAAGGCAGCCTTGACGTAAGATAAATGTTTAACATTTCATTAACAAAACTTGCCAGATCATGCATATGGCATAAATGGAAACAGCTTTAGAAGTGTTTAAAGAGATTCGAACTCATATCAGCCGTGCACACCTTTTGTAACACTGATAAGTGTAGTAGCCCACAGTAAATGGCGAGATGACGAGAGTTGAGAAAATACTGCTGAACTGATTGCTGAATTTATCCACATCTTGAGTGATTCTCTGATCTCTACAAAAGAGAATCAAATAGATTCTCACGCACAGGGCCAGCAAAAGGGGTGTGCCTGGTGGGGGAATGGAGGGGCAGGAGGCATCAAGTGCCAGTCCCTTTTCACTGGCCAGTTTTACCCATATTCTTGGTTGAAATAGAAAAAGTGTCGTGAGAATTTTCCAAATTTTCAAAGCATGAGAAATTGAGCTTTACTGCAAGTTAAGTGCTCAAATGCCAATCAACCCACACGCTAACGTTCTGAACAATGTGAAATTTTCTGTGTAGATAATTTGAGGAAAATTTCAAATCTGGGACCATTTTTGCCAAAACACTGTAGAAAGCGATATGGAAAATTGATGACGCTAAACTCGAATATAGGAGAATGCTGGTTGTCTCAAGAATTTTCAGATAAACACAAATGAGCTGTATTAACCAATTGAGTTGCATTGTGTGGTGATGTGCCCTACTTTATTATTTTACTCAGTCTAACGCCAGACAATTGTATTCGTCAAGGGGAGAGCGCTGCATTGCAATCAGTGGGTTAAGGGCGTTTTCCACTAGGCGGAATTTTCCGCGCGGAGCGGAATTTCTCTTTGTCTTGTGATTTCTCGGGTGGAACTGATTAGAAAAGACAAAGAGAAATTCCGTCCTGCCCGAAAAATTCCGCCTAGTGGAAAACGACCTTTAAGTGTATGTTTTCGTACATTTTCTGAGATACTTTGAATTGTAAAATTTTACTCACAAGTTATCAATATCTCGTTGTAGGACATTCAGTTCATAGTAATTGTCTTGAGCAAAATAAAATTTTTGGATAAATCTCGTCAGACTTCCTCTCCAGTTCACGTACAGAACACCAGACACAAAGATTTAAAGTAATAGTTAAACTTAAGTAAAACTAAATGTTATTTAATTTAATGAGTAATTTGGGTAATTTTTTAACTGTGCTCCCTGCTGCCTGACTGGTGATTATTGACAGTTAATGAATAATGGATAATCATTCCACTAGCATTTTAATGATTTTAGTTCATACATTCAGTCCTCGCAAGTCACATTATTATCAGCAGCAAATGGCAATTGCCAGCACCGAAAATGAAATTATTGACAATTTTTTTCCAATTATGCTTGAACACTTATCAGTGACATCTGTCAGAGGCAAATTGTTATTGGGGGGG